GAAGATTATGAAGCCCAGAGATGAATTTTCAAGTGAGGCTGCAGAGCCTGTGGAGTTTGAAAGAAGAGACTAGAAAGACCTTGAGGGAGAGGCTGACGTGCAGAGCGGCTGAACGGAGGATGCTGGGTGCCAGGTCCGCGCCCCACTTCCCTGCCCATGTTAGCAGTCATTCCAGACACAGGTGTTCCCCCATCGTCCTGCCCAGTGTCGGGGTGGCAGACTGAGTGTCTTTAGGTGTAAGACCTGTGCCTGGAATAAGAAAGGTCCTTAAATGGTTGTGGAAGGAAGTAAGAAAAAAAAGAGAGAAGGAGAAAGGGAGGGAGGAAAGGAGAGAAGGAAAGCAAAGGGTAAAGAAGGCTGGGGAAGGATTCTCCGCAGAGTCACGACGAGTAGTTGATGGGTCGCCTTCCTCTCACTTGGGGCCTCTTCACATGGTCATTCCTAATGGGCACTTTACTGGACGTTTTAAAGACGATTCATTCAGAAATGTGATTCCTCCCTCTCATTCGGTTAACTGAAAAGTAAATTCTTAGAGTCAAAAGTGAACTGTCAGTTGAGGTGGCAGACTGTGTGACTCTAACCTACTGTCTGTGCCCCTCCCTCTGGGCCAGGATTAATCCCTCAGATCCTTCGTGATGAGGAGTCAAAGATGGCTTTCTCCTGGGGGAGGAGGAGAAAACCTGCCCACATGGATCTGGTGCCTTAAGGGCAGAACTCAGATATCAAACACCGAGTTAAGCTCTATCCTCCCAAGTTTGGGCTCCCTATACATGTTCTTGGGCACCTCCCATTTCTCCAGTCTTCTTGGTCAAATTCTGACCAGCAGGTTATTGGCTAGAGAGAACTGTAATGGAGTAGGGAAGGCGATGCCAGGTGTGTGTGATATGGATGGCCACGGTGGAGTGGGCAGGTAGGGGCAGAAAGACCCTTGCTCTGCCCCAATGCACCACAGCAGGGCACCATGTTTGCAATATTTTAACACTGAGAACCCACCCTAGTCTCAGGTTTCCCATGTGTGTATCCCAAGGCCGGCCCAGACCCAGCCAAGAAACACTGTTTTGGGTATACCATTCCTGGCATAGTGGGCCTGCTTCAGTGGGCTGCTCTTTCTCTTCCAGCAGGATCCTCCCAATACTTCCTTCACTGCAGATGGGCTCTCCAATGCAGAAGGCTGCCCTCCCCTGCCTGAGTTTCATCCTGCTTGTCTGGAGCTGGGCACCAGGGGTCCAAGGCCAAGAATTCCAATTCGGGTCCTGCCGAGTGAAGGGAGTAGATTTCCAGGAACTATGGGAGGCCTTCCAAGCCATGAAGGACATTGTGGTGAGTGAAGTAATGTTCTGGACCCAGCTGCAGGGGTTACTGCGGGGGAAGGATAATATTTTATGATCATGGAGCCCTTTGTAGCTTGCTAATCATTTCCCTATATAATAACTTTGTGAAGTCAGAGGTATTACAGGCCCATATGTCCTCTTGCACATGAGGAAACTGAGGTTCAAAAAGATGTCGTCAGCTTACAGTAACATAAACACTGTCCAAGAGGAATAAAGAAGGGAGCCTATTCATCTGGGCTTCATTTGTGTCTCAGGAGGGCATGAGACTCCACCAATAGGAAGTCGTGGGAAATCTTTGAGACTCACCCACTGGAGCTTTCGCCTACTGCTTAGCCAGGCTCCTGCTAGTCTGTTATCACCTGTTTACACCTTGGCTTAAAGGTAGAAAGAATGGTTATTGCTGAGGTGGGATGGAACAGCTTGTAAAATGGGACTGTGGATTTCTCCTGGGCCTGAAAGTGCTTTAATATGTGCCCTCATAAATACATTCAGCTCCTTAAAGAACAATCCAGATACAAGGCAGAAAGAGGGAGCCCAATGAGGCAGCCTGGAAAGGGGAGAGTGCCCCTCTGGGGACAGGACACCTATATGTGATCTTGACCTTGAAACCAACTGGTACATCACTCCCCACCCCCATCAGTTTCCTTACTTGCACAATGAAGAGGTGAGACACAGGAACTCAAAAGCTCCTTCCTCTCCATGATGTTTTGACTCCAAATCCAAGAACTGGAATGAATGGCAGGGCTGCAAGGAAAGCTCTAAGGGTGAGGGAGTCAGCGCCCCCCACTTTCTTGGAATAGAGAGGTTAAATTCTGCCCCTAGTGGTTCTTAAACAATATAGGCTTATTTCCTCCTATCTCAAATGACCAAGGGCATCAGATAGGTCCCTGGTCAAAGCTCTAAGAATTCCTAGGAGTCCATCTGTGCCTGGGGACCAAACTTAGAGATTTCTGCGGCTGGAACTTACACCTCTACCCTAGGGACCAGTTCAGCCTAGGGCCCCTGGGACCCCCTCTGGCCTCTGAGATCTCACAGACTGGATAGATTTGGGGGGTCTAGGGAAGCAGCATGCATTTGTAAGGCTGGTTTCTATGCTTCCCCTAACCTGAGACATCTTTTCTTTCTGCTTCCAAAGCAAGCTCAGGATAACATCACAAGCATCCGGCTACTGCGGAGGGAGGTTCTGCAGAATGTCTCGGTAATTAGATCTCGGGGAAGGTGTGGCTGGTCTTCTGTGAGTAGTGGGCCTGAGGGGTTGTCTGGGGAGGTTGACAGAAGACTTCGCTTTTGCCTTGGGCTGGGACTACCCAGGACAAGGCTGGGCAGTGAGCCAGAGAAGTCAGTGCATGGGGTCATCACCCAGGATCTGGGTTATATGGGCAATGTGTGTGGTGGCATGGGGAGGGGGTGGAGATTAGGGCTCATAAACACCTGTCTCCATTTAGCCAGAGAATTGCCATCAGTCTGTATTTCTCTTTTGCTGTGTCGGCCCAGTGAGGGTCTGCTGGGGTGTCTTCCATTTCCATTTTTTTTCCTCATCCATCCCTGTCTTCTCATCTTCCGTCTAGTCAGTGAGCACTCAGGTACTGAGCCCTGAGCCCTGCAGGTGCTGAGCTTCACTCTGTGGTGCTTAAAGGGGCTAGAATGCAATCCCTGTGTTCAAGGATGTGGGTTTTTTTCTCCTCATTTCTTCTCTTTCTAGTCCTTTTCCCCACCAACTCTCAACCACCAAATTCTAGGTCTTCTGCAGTGTCTATCACCTCCCATGGTTATTAGAGAGGTCATGGAGTGTAGAAGGAGGAATATTAAGCAGATGGGGAGTCAGGAGTCCTGGGAACTAGGCCAGCGTCTGCCCCTGACTAGCTGTGTGACCCTGGGTGAATTCTCCTCCTCGGTCTGTGTTTCCTCTTGTAGACTAAAGGCTCCACTCTCCAGGCTCCTGGAGGGTCCATCAGATCCGATCTTTAGCAACATCTAGAAGGTCCCTGCCTCTGTTGTGCTTATCTTGCCTTGGCAACATGCGGGTTGTTCATCCAGGGCTGGGATGGGCAGGGGCCCCGGCTCTGTGGTGACCCAGACCCTCCCCAGGACACTGAAAGCTGTTACCTGATCCGTGCCCTGCTGAAGTTCTACTTGAATACCGTTTTCAAGAGCTACCACGAGAAGGCAGCTGAATTCCGGATCCTGAAGTCATTCTCCACTCTGGCCAACAATTTTATTTTCATCGCATCAAAACTGCAACCCAGCGTGAGTAGAACAAAGCTGGGCCCAGGGCCCAGGGGAAACATGTTTTGAGAGGACTTTTCTTCCCTTATCTAATCTTGGCCTTTATTCTGCAAGAGGGCATCGTGGGTGTCATGGAAAAGAGCCCAGGCTCTGGAAACCAGCAGGTCTGACTTCAAGTCTAGTTCTGCTTCTAACCAGCTGATTGACCCTTTGCAAGGTGCTCAGCCTCTGTGGGATTCAGTTTTCCTGCCGATAAAATGGGGTGATCACTCCCACCTGGCTGTGAGAATCAGAGGCTGCCCTGCCACACTGGGGGATTCAGCACTGGCTGCCCTGAGGCTGTGGGTTCAGCACTGTCCTCTTAGGCCTTGGAAACCCTCTGGCATCACAAGGAAGAAGCATGAGGGGGCTTGACTCTGCTTCTACCCAATATTTGCTACAATTTTTTTTCTGCTCTTCTGCTGGAAAATGAAATGTTCTCCATCAG